GCATCGAAATTCAAAATCTCCTTTTTTTTCTGAAAATTTTTGTACGAAAGTCGTAATAGTAGCCCCTTCATAATACAAGCCCCCCCCTAAAAATTTTGAACACCTGGACAGTTTAGAAGCCCCGGAGGCTTCTGTTATGGAGGGGGGCTTACAATAAGCGATAGGTAATCAAAGTCTAATGGCAGATCCCTCAAACAACCTTAACCACTGTATATTCACCAGAGGCTTTGCGTATCGAAAAAAACCATTCATTATGCTGTTGATTCAAATAGCTCATGCCTTGAATCAATAACTCACTATGTTTTGTCATCAGCGTTTGTAATTTCTAGTGATGATCATTAGCAAGTTGTAGACGATCAGACAATGTATTAATTGTAATTTATGTTTCAGCCAGTATTCGATTGTTATCTTGTCGTTCGTGTTCATCGACATGAACATTAGTGTTCTGTTTTTCAGATACACGATGAAATAATTGCATCGTCTGAATTATGACTTCACATACAGTCGTATATATGTCAGTAATAGCCTCGGTTTGAATTTTATTTTGAAGATTAAACAATTGAATGTGTTGTGTGGTTGCCTGTACTTATTTTGCATGATCTTGTTTTAACTTCCAGATCTCTGCCATATTTTCAGATTTTATCTTTTCAAATTCACTTTGTAATGCCTTGATTTCGTTAACAATCGAACAACTTTGTATTTGACGAAACGTCTGTGATGAATTTGAATCCGAGTTCAATAGTGGCCACATGTTCTGGTCATTTTGATTAAAAACTTGATGTTGTTGAATCCGCTTATCAGGCATTGATTTTTTCAGATTGCTTCGTAACGTTTTCAATCCTTGGTCTCGATACTTCAGAGGTAGGAAAAGTTGAACAGTAGGAGGAAGTTGACGACTATCACTTTTTAATTTTTTCAGCAATTCGTCCCGAAAACCGATAACGGACGAACATCGAAAACTTGTCATTTCATGATCTTGTCCACAATGTGTGCAACATACAATACATTCTTGATGATTGACGCCATTGTTTCGATCATCTCCACATCGTCGGCATATATCGATCTGTGAATTGCAATTCTTTTTCATATGCCCTGAATAATTACAGCGACTACAGATAAGTAGTTTGAGAGATGGCAAAAACTCATCGACATCGAATATTCGCCCCGCCAGCAGGAATTTTTCTTTATTCAATATTGCTTCATACTCATCGGATGATCGCATATCGAAGAGAATATGTCTTGCTGTTTCGTTCATTGTTCCAAGTATGTTTTCGATTGTGTATAGCCGTGTATAAGCTTAAATATTGTTCATTTAATCCTTTCTTAACTTCTTCTAAAGATATATTATTATCGACCAATTTCATACAACTAACAGTCTCCATTTCTTCTTCTTTTCAAGACGTTATTGCAATAAAGCTACAAACTAATCCAAAATGGCAACTAGATAATGATGTTGATGAAACATTTCTCTACAAAATGAAAAGTGTCTCGCCTCTGAACGTTGATTCGTTATGAAAGTACAGCTGTTGTACAAACAGCCTCAAAAATCGATTTTTGGGCTATCTAAAAAGCGTGTCTAAAAGAGTGAAGACGAGCCGGTAAAAATCGAACAAGTATACCAGTTTGTAAAAAATTGTACGCTCTACCAGATGTGATAGCTTGTCAAGTTCGAAACTATTGTAATTAAATTGTATTAATCAAAGAAAAAACAGAAAAACGGTAAAAACCTCCAGTGAAAACCTCCAGCGGTGCCACCGGATCCAAAAAATGTTGGGACTCCGACCGGATTTTTAGGCCGTACAGCATAACTGGTTGCGCTGATTCTGAATATGTAAAAATCTCCAGAAGCGCGTCTGTAGAAGAAAACCATCAAATTTGGATATGACAGGAAGAATGGACTCCAAAAATGGACTCCGTCGATTTCTTGATCCACTTAAAGCAGATCTACCAAGACTGTACGAAAAAATTAAAAATATCTATTGTCATTTGATAACAAAATGATCAGGTCATCAATCGACTAAAGAAAATAAAGAACTCGAATTTCGTTCATTTTCAGCTAGTGAAGTTTGCTTAACTAAAGAACGTACTAGAACACAACAAAGTTTGCTTAACTAAATGGTGTAGCACGCGCTATTTACTATAAATATTTACACAGTGTTAAACTAAATAATGAATCAGAACAACATTTATCATCATATTTTGTTAAACCACCAGTTTTTGGGATTTGTAAAACAATGAAAGAGTTGTTTCAAACCTATGAGCGTCAGACAAACAATCATGAATTAACAGCTGAATATATGACTTGATACTGCATTGATTATGTTTACGAGCTGTCAAGGAGCTCCCCTTGCTAAGAAATGACCTCCGCCACCGTCCATCCGATCTTAACTTCTCGTACAAGTCCTAAAATTGAATATTTTAAACAGCGTTTTCTCTATATATGAGTTCTCTTATATCGAGAAAGCGCTGTATTAAACGCTGTAACACCTGAAGTATTTCCCAAGATTTTTAGTAACGGTTTGTCGTAGAGATCTCCTTATTCTTTTTTTTTTAATCGAGAAAAAGAAACCACAGCGACTGCCCCCTGCCGACTTTTGAAATAGGTCTTGGTTTTTTTTTCAAACTGAGGACTTTTAGAAAACTCGGAAGAATTTTTCGGGTTTTAGAGGTTGTTGGTTGTCTGGAAAGTCAACAGAGCCTGTATAAGAATGTAATAGCTATTTTACACATTTTCATCGCCTATGCGTCATGTTAATTTGTCGCAAGATTTCCACAGACTTGCCATAAGATCGATTGTCTATTGTTCTATTACATGATCTGAAATCCGACAATACCTGCCCAGGTGCATTGTGTATTCCGTGCGTATGGATCCAAGTTTTTATACAAAACTTGAGATACAAAATGACATATTATAGAAATTGTATTGCATACGGGAAGGAAATTATCTAATTGGCGCTAACTATTTCGTTGATGGTGACTACAAATTAGCAGTTAATAAATATGAGAATACCGTTGAAAGGACATCCTAATTAAAATTAGATTTGTTGATAAATGTAAACATGATCACGATGTGGTATTCAACAATTTCGAAAAAGCATTGAAAGTTCATTTGAGTGGCTCATCCTAGCACCATGAAGCTATTCAATTACTCTGTTTTGTTACATAATTTTAACTATTTAATTATATCTTATCTCAATTAGAGACCTCCCATTATCTCTCAACTGTTACTCATAGTGGAAACATCATGGTGTCTGTTAGATGCTAAATTCTGAAAACAGTAAAACCTTCCGCAATTTTTTGAATTTTACTGGATAGCTGAATGGACCAAAGTATTACTTGATTTAAAGTTTTCCGCTTTGAGAAATTTCATGGATTAGAATAAAACATTGTATTTGTGCTGCAACAGCTAAACTGCTTCCAATGGCGTAAAATTCTAGCACTTATTTAGGAGTTTATTGACGAATATATCAATTTAGTTGAAGGTGTGAACAGTATGAATAAAATTGTGGAAATTCAAATATCATCGTATCACTCAGCGTCAATAATGAGAAACATACGTAATTCCGAAGCCAGTTCCGACGTGCAGAAAAAGAAGCATGTTCGACCAGTTGCATTATAGGAAGAAAAGCAAAAGAAGTATGACCCATAGATAAAGAAGAAAGATGAAGAAGACAAAGCATCAGCGCCTACTCTATGTTTTATCCGGGTGTTTTTTGCCTGCTTTTTTCTTGCCGATTATCACTTAACATCGAATAAGAATTTTGTTATGTAGTGTTTAGTATGTATATGTGTAAGAACAAATGTCTGATATTATTAAAAGTTATTGATATAACATCGTCGTGTTTTCGACACACTTTTTTGACGCATTAGTATTATGTACATGGTCTACATATTTCTGGTTTTTTCTTCTGTACATGCTTTTATAAATTCATCTCTCGCTTTTCTGTTATCTCTCTACAACAGAGAGAGAATAAATGTCTTTCATCTTTTCTGTGTATACAAGAACAAATGTATTATGTCAATGAAAGTCATTTTAGAATTAATTTGTTTTCGAAAAGAGTAAACAATGTCAGTATAAGTAGCGACCGGTAGTATGTATGATTTCAATATCTGATGGAGAGTGAAGGTTTCGAATAAGTCCTGGGACAAAATAGACGACCGCTGGTCTACTATTGTGTTTGGCACACCGAAAGCTCAGGGATGGTCTTCTACGGAAGTCAACTTTTTCGTGTGAATCCTCAGTTTAATGCACATCAGAAGTCAGTCTCTCTTCAAGTCTGATTCATTTTTCATTGTCGTCATCATCATATATATATATATATATGATGATGATATATCATATATATATATATATATATATATATCAATCTATTGATGAACAGAACGAATGAGAAAAGAAGTTCTTTTATATTCTTTTTTTCCGTATCACAATCTCATTATAAAAAAGGGGTGACCTTCTGTTTTGGGTCAGGGTTTACGGTTTTTTATATCATACTCTGAGGTGGCTTTGTTAATCAAAAAATAGAATAGAGTTATCAAGAAAACGAGAAGCAACATTTATTGCTGTATCAAACATCGTTACAACACATTTGATAACAGTAATGGCCATATTTTAATCACTTTTTGATGTTTTCTTGACTTACTCTAATGATATTAGTTGTACTTCAGACATAACTACGCTGCAATATAGAGACATATCATCGAAAAATAATCTTTTTTGTAACTGTGTATAATTGAAGAATTGTCGTCGATAAACAGAAGGAAGAACAGAAGTTCCTGGGGAACGCCTGTCTTTATAGATAGTGGAGCAGATTTTTGGCCAAAACTTTAATCAGTGTGACTTGTTGCCGATTTGTGAGGTCTGAGATGTCCGGTGTACGTAAAAGTTCTAAATTCGAAATTAAGCGATGTTGTACGATGGAGATTGAGTTGAATTTTTGGAATTTGACTTTTTAGAACTTGTGAATTTAAGAATTTACAGATTTTTAGAATTTATGAATTTACACTTACGTCAGAAAGCCATTTTTTGATCTGTCTATTAACGAGCAATAAACTGAATATTAAAAACGAAGTTCCCTCTCTTTTTTATTTAGATCTAATCCGTTAGAAAAATTATCTCTGTTAAATTGCCTGAAAGATTGAATCTTTAAGTATATCATAGGGGTAGTCTAATGGATAATAACAATAACAATCCGGTGTTCGAATAAGTCCTGGGACAAAATAGACGACCGCTGGTCTACTATTGTGTTTGGCACACCGAAAGCTCAGGGATGGTCTTCTACGGAAGTCAACTTTTTCGTGTGAATCCTCAGTTTAATGCACATCAGAAGTCAGTCTCTCTTCAAGTCTGATTCATTTTTCATTGTCGTCATCATCATATATATATATATATATGATGATGATATATCATATATATATATATATATATATATATCAATCTATTGATGAACAGAACGAATGAGAAAAGAAGTTCTTTTATATTCTTTTTTTCCGTATCACAATCTCATTATAAAAAAGGGGTGACCTTCTGTTTTGGGTCAGGGTTTACGGTTTTTTATATCATACTCTGAGGTGGCTTTGTTAATCAAAAAATAGAATAGAGTTATCAAGAAAACGAGAAGCAACATTTATTGCTGTATCAAACATCGTTACAACACATTTGATAACAGTAATGGCCATATTTTAATCACTTTTTGATGTTTTCTTGACTTACTCTAATGATATTAGTTGTACTTCAGACATAACTACGCTGCAATATAGAGACATATCATCGAAAAATAATCTTTTTTGTAACTGTGTATAATTGAAGAATTGTCGTCGATAAACAGAAGGAAGAACAGAAGTTCCTGGGGAACGCCTGTCTTTATAGATAGTGGAGCAGATTTTTGGCCAAAACTTTAATCAGTGTGACTTGTTGCCGATTTGTGAGGTCTGAGATGTCCGGTGTACGTAAAAGTTCTAAATTCGAAATTAAGCGATGTTGTACGATGGAGATTGAGTTGAATTTTTGGAATTTGACTTTTTAGAACTTGTGAATTTAAGAATTTACAGATTTTTAGAATTTATGAATTTACACTTACGTCAGAA